GTTATACGCAAACAATCATGGAACACTACATCAAAAACTAATGATGTAATGTATGGTGATTAACATAACATAATAGTAAAAAAAAAAGACCTTCTATTTTGGTGACAGTCAATTGGAAAATATGTATTTTCCCTTTCTTGATAATGAAATAGTCTAAAAAGAGAAAATATTTCTATAAAGAATTATTCCCAACTAATGTGCCTATAAAATACATAGAAAGGGACTCATATCTTCTAGACTGACTACTAATGAAATTTGGTACAGATGATTCCCATTTCAGTGACATTAGAGATTCTTGTTTGATGCTGTTAGACATCCAGTTTTGACAAGAACGTGTTCCTAATATTTCTCATGCTTTATTCCCAGAATTTAACACATCAGTTGGAGCACAAGGAAAAGGAGCAACTACAGATGTTGGATCAACTTAAGGAGATCCAGAATCACTTTGAGACTTGTGAGGCCAAACATAAGCATGCCGACCTTCAGATCTCAGAGCTGACTCACCATGCTGAGGAAGCAACCAAGCAGGCCGAGCAGTACCTTCTCGAGTTCCAGCAGTCAGAGGCCCTGAGACAGGAGGCAGAGAAGAGGAGAGAAGAGTTGAAACTGAAAGCTCAGGAGTCCATCAGGCAGTGGAAGCTTAAGCATAAGAAGTTAGAGCGAGCATTGGAGAAACAGTCTGAAACTCTTGATCAACTGACAGACAAGAATAATCAGGTATAAAAGCCAGATTCCTAAGGAATGATTTTTGCTGTGATCATTCATTCATCCATCCTTCGAACAAACACTTGAGTGCCATGCTGTGCATGTAATCTATCAAGATGTCCTTGATAGAAGAGTCTTTATGTCTTGGCTATTGCAAGGTAAAAAGTAATTTAGTTTTTTATCTTTTTAAAGTCTTTTTCATAGTTTAACATTCTATGAGTTTTTAGAGTTGGCCCTTAAAAGAGATCCATCCCTCTCCCCCAGTTTAGCTTTTAGTTCCCTAAGTTGAAATTGTTCTTTAATGTTCAGTTGGAAAAAAAATCACGAAGTTTTCCATAATATCACCTGACTTTTCTCCCAGTTGCATGTATTTTAAAATCTTATTTTTAGTATATTTCAACTTAAGTAAGTGTTGGTTGCAAATGAGCATTTAAAAATGCAGTAGTTACTACTGGACCATTTTCTGGCAGCAACTATAATGGGTTTCACTGAATGAATGACGTTCACAATCTCACTGCCTGAGCAGTATTACCAGGTCACAAGCCTCTTTAAGATTCTGCTTTTGTGCCTTTTGATTGCAACAAAAAGCATTTCACTGATCCATGTATGCATTGCACATCATCTTTTCCCTTGTATAATCAGTTACTTTAAATGGATTTTATGCTCCTGTGTTGATTCTCAACTATATCTTTGGGTTGAATTAAACCTAAATGTTTATAAGATAATAAGCAGGAAAGTCAGGGTTGATTTTTATCCGTGTTTAGTCTTGGTTTATCATTTCTGCTTTGTCATTTGTCACTTGTCAAGAATTCTGAACATTCCAGAAGAATAATCATTTGGATAAGTTGACTTTCTTTCA